CAGCAATTGGACATTTCCGCTGATGTATGTCCAGATTTTGATGTTGATGCTTTTCCTGGTTTCCCTGACAAAGAGTTAATATGGTGGGAAAGAAATATATTATGGTCTCTGCGTCACTCTGAAAATCTGGATAACCCACTGATTCTTTGGGATATCGTGGGAGCACTCATGGCCTTTAAACAGTCCATACCCAAGTTCGTGGAGCATATCCTACACAAATGGTCGACATCTTACTTTGGATCCCAGTTTGGCACTCCTACAACATTTTTGCCTGAAGCATCTAAATTTCTTTCCAAGCTTTCGTCTCGTCAGTTGCATCATTTAAACATTATCACTAGGCATGTGGTACTTAAAGAGCTAAATGCAGACAAGAAAGGTGGGCAAGAACAGGAATTAGAAGTGTTAAGTGGTGTTGAAGAATTAAATTTATGGATGGAATTGCTCTCAAGCAGTGAAAGGGAACTGCAAGAAAGGCTAGTCAGTCTTACCTTTTCTGCCATTTTAATTTTACTGTCCAATTCAACAGTGGACTCTTGTAAAGTTGGATGCTGGAGTCCTATTGGATCAGCACAGATGGAGCAGTGGGTTTCACTTAATTATAAATATGTGAAGGATTCTCTTAAGTGTCTTGTAGACAAAGTTGAAAAACATGAGAAGAGGTAATTCTCGTAGATTCCTTCTTCCGAACTTACCGTTTTCTACAAGACATTGTGTGGAAAAAATATCAATATTAAAGTAAGCAATATTTTCATATACTAATATTTGACATCTCCAATCTTGCCAACCTAATACAAGTGAATGCAAATGTTTGGTCATTTCTTGTGACATGTTAAAGCTCTAACTCCTTTCGCACAATTTAATATTTTAAAATACGATTTAAGGTTATAGGCTCATAGCATGTCTGTTTGCAGTTCCAACTTTTTTCATTAGCTGTTTTCATGGTTTCTAATCTACTTATATATTTTTATCGACAACAGGAGATTAAAGGACATTTATGGATGTGAAGTGGAAGAGCAATGCAGTTACTGTTCAGCAGCTGTTCCATTTGAATCGACAGAATTTGCATTTTGCTTGGGAGCTAAGGGCAGTAATAGGGTTGGCCAGAGCCATAAACTAGTGCGCTGTGCTGTTACTATGCGTTGTTGCCCCACTACCCCCTTATGGTTTTGTGTATGTTGTCAACGATGGGCTTCAATGTTGGCTCCTCGAGATCTATTCACAATGCCTGGATATCTTTCAGATTTTCAATCTTTTCTCAGGCCTTCATCTATAGGATCATCTCTACCATACTGTCCTTTTTGTGGGATACTTCTACAAAGATTACAACCAGATTTTTTGCTCTCACCATCTCCTGTGTAAATTGAGGTTTTCCGCCACAAAAATTCTTACGTAGTTGTAGATATATAGCCCCTGTTTGATCCCCATTTTTAAAAAATTCATTTTTCTCATAACTCATTTTAACCATACATTCTCCCAAAAAAATAATTTTACACGTAAACCCGAAATTTTTCCCTACTTTTTAACCACACATTCTCAAAAAAATCACTATTACAATATGCATTCTCAATAAAAATAAGGCTTAGTATCTTATTGAAATTGGTTAATTTGCCAAACAAAAATGTCCAACAACTTTTCTGCTGCATGTGACAATGTGATTCAGTCATACAGTTACTCCACTGGCATATTAAATGTTTATTCATAGAATCGAATGTGCCATCAGCATTCAGGAACATGTGGTGAAATCAGTCCTGTCCACAAGGTACACCTCCATCTTATAAGGCAATGCTTGACTTCTCAGTGACAATTCGTAGTACAACTCAGCCACTGGTGTGGAATGAATCTTGTTACTTGCATGGTAGGAGACGCCAGTTTTAACCTCAAATTTCTAGGTAAAGTTTGTTGAGATTGGATTGAGAATTTGTGAACAAGTATCCAGGTCTAACCTTTTTGTGCTCCTTTGACTATGGTGAAAGTGGAAAGGTTAGCTACAAGTCTTACAATCCTGCCACCTTCAGGGAGAATGTTGAATGTCAAGCAGTTCGGCTTAGTAATAATCTGGGTGAGAATGTATTGTGGGGATAATGGATGGGTTTCAGATCGGATGACGGGTCTAGAGGAAATGCTCTTGAAATTGAAGTGATGGCCGAGGAAACCTTTGCTCACTGAAAACTGTGGTGGTAGGCTGGTAGCCGCCACGGATTGGTGGTGCCCTGCCACATGCCACTGCTGCAGCGCACTTTGGGTGTTATGCTAAGGTTTTTGGAATGCAGCAGCATGCTAATGGTGATGGTGATACATTTATGTATTTATTTACGTTCTGTTTGGTTGAAAGTTTGAGAATATAATAATACAGAAATGAGGAATATTTAAATCTCTGCTTATTTCTTGTTCCTGTTACCTTGATTGATTTAGATGAAATATGATAAGCAGTATTATAGGACTATTTCGATTATTTTGTGGGATAAATAGCACCAAAAATCAGACTCTTAATTTCTGTTTTTCCTAATTTTAAATCAATTTTAATCCCATTTAACTATTTTCTATATTTTTTTATGTATGTGATAGGATTTAAGGATGGTATTTGATTTTGCTGATGGTTTCATTCGTTATATATGTACAGAATAAAAATAGCTATGTTCATGGGAAGAGGAGGATTACCTTTCAAAAAAAAATGGGAAGAGGAGGATTAACTGCCGAAAAAGCATGCACCGAGAGAAGTGATGAATAGGAGGAAGGTGTAAGCATCTGCCATTGTTCACTCATCAGGTAAAAAGAATTTAGGGTTTGCAGGTGTGTGTTATATTAGATGTTTGATTTCTTTTGTTAAAAGTAATCGTGTTGAACTCTATTTTCCTCTCTTGTTATGAATGTTGGTTGCTGAAGAGCAACTTGGAGTGCTATTCATTAATTGTGGACGGTAAAATGTGCTATTATTCCATATCAAAGGTAGAATTGTATTTACAACATCATAGTATGTTTTAATAATTTTTCCACCCTGTACATGATGAGGTTGTGGATTATCAAATGTTTAGTGACCCAAATTCTGCACTTCATTTGTCCTCCATTAAAAACACCGACGGTGGTTTGTCATTGACAAATTCATTTGGTTGTTTAATGTAGTGCATCCTGGGGTCATATTATATAGCATTGCTTCTGGGACTGTCACGTGACTTGCAAATGGCAAAGAATGCTCCAAGTTTGGCTGGAACAATGTTTGGATATTATCCTGTGAGAGTACTGCCTCTCAAAATTGCAATTGCACGTAGTTGGAATATGAGATCATAGAAAACTTTCCTTCTAGCTTATGTCCTAGTCTAGTTAGGAATTATCATTTTTCCTTTTAGTAATAGGATTTTATATTTTTCCGTTTTCTTTCCTTCTATGGATAGGGCGTCACTCCTATATATAGGATTGATTATGTACTAAATTAATTTAGCCTCAATTTCAAGTCACTAGCTAATTCGATCTTTTTTCCCAGGTTGAGGAATTCATTACCACCTTTATTTACTTGACACATGTTATAGCTTGTTCGGTCTAGTTTAAAATCCAATTAAAATTGAAAATATGGTCGTTATTGGGTTTCACTCGTCTAATAAAAGTAAACAATAACGGCTAATTTTTCAATTTTAATTCGATTTTAATCTCTACCGAACATGCCCTTAATCTTGAATTAGCTGAAGATAAGCAAACTAATGCTTGGTTTTCCCTGCTATGGTAGCTAGTGTGCGAACGGCAAGGAGATGTGGCAAGCACTATTTATTTTACAACGGTAGCTATGGTACCACAGGCTTCTCACTCATTTATGCTCGACTGCAAATGAAGTCAACTCAAAGTTCGCATTATTTATTTATTTCAAGCCAGTTCTCTCAAGTTAGTACATCTATGTATATGGCCCTTTAAGGAACTCTGTCATTTACATTTGTAGTTTTCCTTGATTGCATCCCAGCTTGGTATCTGTCACCAGCAAGTGATATATATGGTTGTCATTTTAGCTTGTAAAGTCGGTCCTTTTGTGGATGTGTAAGTCAGGTAGTTATGTTATACATTATGTTGAGTTTGACAAGCAGCGTCTCAAAGTGCTAATACTGTTCCACGCTTCTAAGTTAAAAAACTTGTTCAAAAATTCCCATCTTTTCTAGGCCGAGTCAACTATAGTGGATTTCTCTATTTTTCTCCTTTTCTGGATTTATATTGTGTTGCCGGTGGCTCTAATACTTTATGGTGTATTAAGAATCAACTGGCTGACAATTGAATGCCAAGTCTTCTTAATAGGTGGTTCTTTTTCTTTAGTAGTTACGAGTTTATTTCATCCAGTATTCACATTACAATGATTCTACTCTTTTAAAGAAAAATTTCCAATAAAAGTCGGACTTTGAGGCAATACAGCAACATATTCATCCCATTGGCATCACCTTGGTTTGTATTGAGTATTCAGTTAAAATATTGGAGGCAAGTCTACCGTTTAAGGATATCAAGCCAAATCTGTGCATTCATTTGAACTTCTATTATTAGCACTATCCATTGGTTATATTACTCGCGAAATGGGAATTCGACAAGGCCTATTTATGGTTATGAACTTACACGCGGGTCTCGTTTTTTGTCAAATGCAAGTTTTTGAGTGCCCGTTGAGACATTATTCTAAGATGACTCATTTGGGACGTGTGATATATTTGTTTGTTGTCTGGTCTACAAATGGACCATTATACGTGGGGTATATTATATTTTAAGTGCACTAAGAACAGCACCGAAGAAGGGAAAGGGAGCATTGAAGTCTAGAGGTCATTCCTTGTAGCACTAACATTTGATTAAAATTTAGAACACTAAATAAATCCTCTACACAATGTATTCATTCAAGTTTGAGAAAGGAATTCATCATCCTGATATCTAAATCCATTAGAGCAATTGAATTCTCATACCAAGTAAAAAGGGCACTAGACTGACGAAATGCCCGAAATCAAGGAGAATCAATTTTCAAGATATTTTTGTTGGTTTCTCGTCATCTAACTGAGATGCTGGAATGCAAAACCTTCAGGTGTAGTAGCTGCTGCAAGAGTAGTCGGGCTATTGCAAACGCTGCTATCAGAGTGCGAGAACAATGTCCAATGAAGAACACCAGAGGGCGATGAAACAGTAGTTGCTGGGGTGCTTATTGAATCATATGGGGAACCTGGATTTGAGCCTATTCCTACTCCTGCACCTCCAGCAACGGATACAGGTCGTAAAGCCTCAGCAAGCGGTCCACCTTGTGCAAAGGGCATCGAAGAAACAGGTCTTAACCATCTTGAATGGCCATGAGAATCATCAACACCAAACTCCACTTGATTCTTTCTCATTTCTTCATCCAAGACGTTTTCAGCACCCATAGCCATTGATAGATCGAGTGAACAAGTGGAAAGGTTCCCATGTTCAGATGAAAGAGAGGATTCAAAATTGCCATTCTCATTGTTGCTGTTGGACCAAGCATCAATAAATCCCCTTGAGGACTTATTCTGTGGCTGTTTGTCCAAAAACACCAAATCAGGATTAAAGAATGCTCCTATGTTAGATTCACCACCACTACTACACTTGAAAACATCTTCTGGGGCTGGAAAATTTGTGTAAGAGGACATATTCAATGGCTGCTGTTGTACATAATCTCGATGAAAAACAGAGGCAATAGAACTATAAATCGAGCCCTCATCCCCAAATCCAACGCTAGCTTCCACCAAATGCTGCCATTGTTGCCCTGCATCCATTCCACCTTCGAATGACCCCAAACTCCTTCGATCATTAGCCAAAATCAGTAAACAGCCAAACAGAAACACACAAAAATAATTTAACACAAACAATTGCAACTATACAAAAAAACCAACCTCTCATATTTCTTATTAGAGGATGTAGAAATACATGGATCAGTTTTAGGATTAAACAAAAGAGGGATTTTCTTCTCGTTATTGCCAGAGGCGCTGTTTTTGACTTCCACAGGCTTTCTTGAACGGGGACGGCTTTTTTGCAGGTGGCGCTCACAGTACTTGTGATGGGGCACCACATCTCTTGAGCATCTCCATTTCTTGCCATCCGTTCGCTTGCACCTCTCTAGAAGACCAGTCACTGCACTCAAGCACCAATATCAAAGAAACATCTGTTTAAAATCCACATCTAAGTACCAAAAGTGTAAAATGAACAAATCGTCGAAGAAAAAGAAGAGCCAATTTACAGGAAATTGAAGGGTTTGGTGGTGCAGGAAAGAGAAGATCAGCAGGCACAGGCATAGAGGCCATCAGGTAGTTATAAATCATTGCTTGTCTTCCAAGCTCCTTCCTTTGAGCAGATGTGAAAGGATACCCCATATTTGCAGCCAATTTATTCCCACCTGGGCTCACACAAGAAAGAAAAATCACCTTTTGATTTAGCACAAAGAAAGAGCGATTTAATTACCTGTGGATTTGAAGGCGGTGGCTGTGGCGGTGCTATTGGTGTCACAAGGAGAAAAAATGTTATAAGTATGCAAATTTCTTGCAACATCTGAACCGCCGTCTCTGCCCTGCTTACAACTGAGCCAACCACCATTAACTCCGGTTTCCATATCCCTTTTAAGACCAATTTGTTGCAGAACTAGAAAACCACCCAAAAAAAGTTGTTTATGGAATTTGAAGGCCCTTAAAGTTCAGGTACGACAATAAGAGATATTTATGGGTTTTAACGAAGGGGAGTAAGGTTGATTTTATTGTGCCGCCATTCTCGTCCTTTGCTTTTTGCCTCCATGCTTCTAACATTCGGACCAATAAAAACAACACGACAGTTGAAAAAGCAAATATCTTATCTTCAAAAAAGTTACTTGAACAAAAAAAAAAATTTGACAAAAAAATTGACACACTCTCACATGATGTTGGCCCCTACATGTATAAAAGATTGAAAAAAATGTGAGGCCCCCCTAATGTGAGGGACTGATCAGGGTGTTTGTCACCTTGACTCGGTACAAACAGCACTTCTCTCTTATCTTTTCCTTCTCTCTATCGCGATATCTATGTGTTATTTCTACATTCAAAATGCGTTCCGCCAAGTACCATGTTTGGCAATGATTATAGGGAAAATTGCGGCCGCGGTCCCAAACCTTTCATTTTGTTGCAGATTACACCCAAACCTTTAATTTTTGCATTCGAAGTCCCAAACCTTTATATGTAATAGCAGCGTCGGTCCCAAACCTTTACTTGTTGCGGTAGAAGTCCCAAATATTTGTACATAATTGCAGCGTCGGTCCCAAACCTTTGTATGTAATTGCAGCGTCGGTCCCAAGCCGTGAATTCCGTCCGTAAAACCGTTAGTCAACGTTGAAA